AAAACTCCCTCATGACCCTTTCTGGTCACATTGTCTCTCGAAACACCATAGTCTCCAGCAACCACTCAGAACCATTATTTTCCATCACTGTAGTCTTGTCTTTTTAAAACTCCCCTTCCTTTCCCTATCCCCTCTGCTTCATTTTTAAATGGAAGTCTCTGGATGGTTATTTGAGGCTGAACTCCAAATCCCAGGCCAGGAGACTCTCTCCTCTACTGTTACTGTTTTGTTATTTTCTGTTGCTAACATTTATCAGCATCTGTGATGTGCCAGGCATTTGTACTCATTTTACATACATTATCTCATTTTAATCTTACAATAGGCTCATGATAGATGCACACCATTATTATCTCCATTATACAAATATGGAGACTAGGGGTAAGAGAGGTTAAGTGACCTGCCTAAAGCAAATTGAATCCCAGCACAAACCCAGCTCTATCTGATGACATATCCCTAACATTATGGTAAATAATAAAAGGGAAGGGATTGTAACTAGGAAAGATGTACACAGAGAGAGGCTGGGGGCAGAGCCAATTTGGCACCATATGGTTTTTAAAAAGATGCACCAATGTGTGTGAAGGTGAAGAACCATCTGGGTCTCCTGACTTCTCCACCTTAGCTCCTGCCTTTATGACTTCCTCCACCTGTCGCATGCGGTCCTTGCTGACCCAGGTGGTCCTTGCTGACCCAGGTGGCTCCTGCTTGCTGTTTTCAGGGGCTTGGGATAGTTTTAGTCTCCTTGCCAATTTTGCAGAAACCACTGTCTGTGTCACAGGACACAGCAGCTGAGACCCAGAAAAGAAGCTGGATACCTTCTGGTTTCTACTTAGCTCAATTCCCTTGTGTGTTTTCTGACCTGATATTCCCCCCCCCCTCAGGTGCTTGCAACACCAGCTAAAGAAGTTTCTAGGACACAGCCATCTGGTCTGTGCGCTGGAGGTGGCAGGTGTGTTCTCGCTGAGCTGGGGCAAGTGAGACAGAAATGTGTGTAGTTGGCATGATGTGTAACAAAGAAGAGAGAAAGTCCGGCCCTGCAAGACCTGGGGCAGAGACATTTGTGCTGGGGATAGAGAGGCAGGAGAAAGGCAACTAGAGAAGTTACGGAAGAATTAGAGATGCTGGGAATGGAAGGTTCTTCACCTACATGAGGTGTTCATTTGAGCTTGTTATTTGGGGAAGAGAAGGCTGCTAGCGGGTTTTCTCCTGGAATCAGTTCCTAGCTCCTTCAGGGTCTTGGAAGTGGGCTGCCAAGCCAGTGCAAGTTGGGAAGAATCACACATCTGAAGCACAGCCTTGGGTCATGTGGAGAAAAATCAAACAGGCCAGAAATCAGGATACCAGGGACCATCTTTGGATGATACTCTATTAACAAGCGGGTGAAAGAGGACGCGCAATTTAGAGCGAAAAGTCCTGAGTCACTTCAAAAACAGTACCAGCTAACATTTGCCGAGCATGAGCCGGTCCCCGTGCTAAGAGCTAATTGACATGAATCACCTCATTTATTTCTCCCAGCAACCCTCTGAAGTAGGCGCTACTATTATCTTCAATTCACAGATGGGGAATTGAGGCCCTGAGGTTCAAGGGACTCACCCGAAGTACACAACTGTTGAGCAGCAGCAGGAGGATTTGAATTCTTACATTTTTCAAATCTAAGCTTGTAAGCTTCACTGCTTTCTGGCCTGTCTTAATTCAGAAATATTTCTAAAAATTCACAGTAAGGAGGAAGAGACATCAGCTATTCAGGAGGCTGTAATCTTCTCGAAGGCAATGCAAAGTTCTTCCGCCTAACTGCTGTGAGGGAAGCAGTAAGAACTGGTAGGGTTTGAGCAGCGGGGGGCTGTCCAAGGGTCTATTGATCTCACCTGTTGGTCTGAAATAACTGCATGCTGTAGGAACCGACGGCCATGCCTCAGGTTTTCTTTCTACCCAGTAGGCTTGGGAGGGTTTTGGACAGGTAGGCACAATGGACTGTTTTTTCTCTCTTTGGCTGGCACCAGGAAGTGGGACTACTGGATCCATCTGGCATGCTGGCTGGCACGAGAAACACCCGGCCTCTTTGAGCCAACAGAAAATCCCGATGAGCTCGTCTATTAGACGAGCCTGGGTGAGCAGAACAGACTTTGGGCTTCGCGAACTCCCAAACAGGGAGTGAAGGGAACTCTTAGAGAATGTCAGGTTAACATCGTGGCCCCTGGAAGGGGTGTTTTACAAAATGGTACCCTGCGACAACAGGTTATTTATGCCCTCTTTGGGGACTACTTTATACTAAGTATTATCCTGGGCCGGACTCGTCCCAGACTTAAGTTCAGTAATAATACCCATTTCACTGTCCTGCCAAGTGCTATCACTCCTTCTGTGTCTTGTGGAATTCCTCCTGCACGGCAGGGCACAATAAACAGTCAATAATAATGTTTACTATGATAATGATCTTCCAAATGCCTTTCATCTAAGGATCTCAACGTGCTATGTAAACACTAATTAGTTAAGCCTCACAATGGCTCTCTGTTTTTACAATATATTTTCCGATTTTATAGAATTTTAAATTAAGACCCAGCAAACTTAAGTGGCTTGTCCAAAGTCATACAGCAGGTTTAAATTAATGATAATGATGATACTCTGCATTTACAGGGCATGTGTTTTCGAAGGCACTGAGAGTGTGTTGCAAAGATAATTTTGACACTGTCCTGGAGGAAGGTGGGGAGCAAGTATTACTAGGGGCTGACCGAACTAGGTAAACTGAGGAGGCAGGGAGGGCGAGGATCTGACTGAGGACGCCAGTGCCTCCTCTGCCTCTCAGGACAGTGCGGCATCCCAGACAAGACTCAGTTTTCTTCACTGAGGAAGGCATGCCTGCTTGTGCCCTCACAGGAAAGACAGCTACATTCTTGGAAGCAGAGACAGGATGCAGAATGACAACCATATTTACATCCAGGAACAGGTCTGTTCACAGCCCCATTGAGAGAGGCAAAAGGGATGAGAGGAGCCACTTCAAGTAAGGAAGGATGGCTAAGAAAACGAAGGCAACGGGGGTGGCTGGGGGATGCTGCCTGCTCTGCTCTCTTGCGGAGTATCTTGACTAAGGCAGGGCCCGCCTGAAAGCAGCAGCCGCCCACAGCCTGCTTCTGAGCTGCTGCCTCCCGACAAGGACTTGTTCCAGTGCGGCTCAGATGATGGGCACAACCCCGTCACTGGCACCTTTGTCTGATGTTACAAGTCCTTGTGAAAGAGTTCCAGGGACATGCAGTATCTTACCGGCTGTCTCTTACATATCACCACCTCTCAGTCCCACAGCTCCCTATGCCAGGAGGGGCCTGGAATCTTCTACGGTTCAAAAACTTGGCAGCCCTGGATACATCTGTGGCTACCTTTTCTTAACACAGCCACATCAAAAAAGATAAAAACCTGAACAAAAACATTCCAAGAGGTTAGGGACTTGCCTCCTCCCAGTCTAGCAACACTTTCTTAGCGGTGAAGATACTCCACCAGGAGCCAAGTCAGACCTTGCTGGGTGGGGGAGGGGAGGTTGCTGTGTCTTAGAAATTCAAAGGAGGATTTGCTGACCTCCGATGGAGCCCTATTCTCTACAAAGTTTGCTGCCTACCCACACCCTGCCTTTTGCAGGCCTGTGGATTCTGATTGATGAGTAGTCCTTGGGCTAACAGGAAGCCTGAAAGAAAGAAGGACGCCAAGCCCTTTTCTGGAATGTGGTCACACAGAGGAGCACAATGGCAATAAAAAGTCTCCAGTGAAGAAATCACACCAATGCCCGCTTCTTCCCGCTCTCATTTTCGACCATTGCCACATTCCCCTACTGTAAGGGCAGTAGATGCCCTGAACAGAAGGAGGGGGTGAGCCGTTGAAAGGAACATTTTAGAAGTGTCCTGACAGCACATCATAAGCCGATTCTCCTGTGCGGGAAGGAATCCGCGATGACCCCTCCACCTGCTGTTACTCTTCACAACGGAGCTGAGGGACTCTGCTTTCGCTTTAAAGCGGTTCGCATTAGGAAAGACTTCACAGAAGCCAGCCTTGACTCTCTAAGTGTGCCGGCCACCCAGGTCATGGCTTTCTGTGTCTACTTTGACACAGTGACTCCTGGGGTTACAGTGTGCATAATCCCACAGGACTCACAAGGACTGCGTCCTCCTCTTGAGATGTGCCCTGAACACAGTTTCCCACAAAAGGCTCGCAGCCACGTCAGATGGAGACCTCCAGATCCCTGTGCACGGCTGGCCAGAGCGATTCGGCTGGCCAGAGCGATTCGCACTATCCAAACACCAAACACACGACTAGGATCTCGCGTGCGCCACTCCTGGGCCCTTGCGGTCATGGCAGCCGCTGAGGAGCAATTTAAGTACGTTTGATTGATTTTGTAAAGGAAGATATCTGCAGGGCTGCTGTATACAGGTGTTGTACTTCACAGCCCTGCCTTCCTATCAAGCAGTCCACCCACGGATACGTGTTCCTCCCGCACAGTCTTCGGGCGTTCAAGTTATCTTGATAGTTTCCTGAATGCATCATGAATGAGCGCTGTCATACTAGCACTTTAGGACTTGGGGTGGGAAGATGGGGTTGGGTAAAATTAAAACAAAACCTGACATTTAACTTCTCAAAGATCTCAAAAGCAAAAGGCAGCTGGATTTGTTTTTCTTTCTTTTTCCCCTCCTCCGTGTATTTCCCATGCACTGCTTTGGATGCAAACAGCAGAAGTAAAAGATGAAAAATAATCACGAAGGCTTTCTTTGTGCTACTACCTTCTAGACAAGAAGCAGGAGGAGCCTAGGAGACTTTAACAATTCTAAGAATTCCTGGGTGGATGAGACAGGCTCAGGATTCCACCAGGTTTTGGTAAAATGATCACTGCCCACAGAAACTTATCTCTGGGGAATCAGTGGCGGCGCTCTTTGAAACCTAACTGCAGGAAGATAACCCCTAGCTGCTGGTATACACAAATCCAACCTCTAAATGGACATGATATGAACAAATAAGATCTTTCTTACCCCATCCATGTGGATTCTGATATTAGGCACCAGGCGGAAAGGGCTGGACTGCAGACCTCTGGGGTTAGTCCTGCTTTTCCTGCTGTCCTGCGGGGTCAGCACGCTGGGCCTGCGGAAGGAGCCCCCTCTTCCCAAGCTCTGCCCCGAGCGCACACCATCTAGAAGACGCACGAGCAGCAGGTTGGCTGGCAGTGCCTCGATGCTGCAAAACACCAGGGTCCGGCATTCGGGGCACCTCAGCTCCTTGTGGGCCTTGAAAATCCTCTGGAGACATGGTTTGCAGAAGGTGTGCTGGCACGGGAGGACTTTGGCTGTGACATCGAGCTTTTCAAAGCACACGGGGCACTCCAGAAGATCAAGTAACGTCAGATCATCCATTTTATTTTAAAACTCCAGTCCTGACCTGGAGGGGGAAAGTCCGCATTGTAGGGCGAGCTGGGCCAGGGAGGTAAATCCGGTCTCTTGGGAGCGTCAGAATTCTTGCCTGTTTGAATGAGAAAGGAAGAGAGGAAAAGAATGTGACTGCTCTGGGAGGTATATCCCACCTACAAGGAGGCAGTGTTTCATGAGACAGTCTGCAAGTTACTTTGTTCCAGCACCCAAGTTTCAAATGACTCATTCTGATTCAGTGCTAGCAGGTAGAAGGCTCAACTCCTGCCTGCTGGATCTCAGAGGGAGCATTCAGCACAGTGACTGATGACTTACTCACTGCTTTTCTGTGTGCAAGCAAGAGTGGAGACAAGAGTGGCCGGTTGAAGTGGCATATGTGCGCCTCTCTCCCACCTAGGGCTCGGAAGGAGCTCCTATTCCCCGCCAGACAATCGGTGTCGGTTCTCAAATCAAGGCCTCCTCAGAATGCAACTTCTATGAAGCTATCTAGACCTTCTTCTCTTAGGCTTATCTGTTATCTCCAGCACAAGCAGGCAAATTTACATTGATATGTTTATCTGAATCTCATGCAGATGTAGAATTATTTCCTTCACTATACATCCTCCCCCATTATGTTGTTCTAGCAATGTTCAAGAAAAATATCTATGAGAAACCTATTTTCAAAAATTGTTTGCCTTAACTACATGCCAGGATGCTTGGAAGCTTTTTCCCCTCCCTTCTTCTCTCCTTCCCTCCCTCTCCCCTTCCTTTTCTTCCCTGATTATTCTAGCCTCCGAGACAATATTCCTCCCACAAGATGAAGTCACATGGCCTGTTTAGTTACTTTGACAAGTGTTCTCAGTTTCACCTGAAGGAGACAGGAATTCTGGATTGTGGTCACAAACTGCAAACATCAAGATGGAGCAGTGTATACAGGGGTGTGTGTGTGTGTGTGTGTTTGTGCCTGCTGCTGTACTTGCGCGTGCTTGCGAAGTGTATGTGTGTGGTCTGAAAACATCCTTATTCCGGAAACCATTTCCTCTTAGACATCTGGAAAGAAGTCTCCAGTTGAGAGAAGTCTCCTGGGAAGAGGTCACTTGTCCCTTACAAGTGCCAAAATTGTGCACAGCAGCCTGGAAGGTTTGGCGGGAGGGCGGGTGTCCCCACCAGTCAGCAAAGAGAACCTGACACACCAGGATGAGAGATGGCGCCTTGCCTTCCAGAGACAACTCTCCAAAGACATTAGCTCTGGGGAGACGTGAGGGGGGCCACTAACCTTGAGCTTGTAACCTCAGCTGAGTTCAGCTCAGCGCGATCCTCTGCTTGGCCAGGCTCCCTCCAACTGGCTGCCTTTTCCCCAGGAGCCGCCGCTGCTCCTGCTGCTGCTGCGCTTTAAAAACTTTAACAACTCTGAGTCTTACTCATTTCAGGGATCGCCTTACTCAGCCCTGTTAACGCTTTCGCTGCCTGGCAGTCAGCAGCACTGTTCTCTGAGTTCACTCTCTGCTCCTGATCTTCCCTTCACGTAACTGAGTTGATTTCTGGGAAAAGATTATAAGGGACAAGATGTAAGCCAACCCTTAAGGCTAAATATTTACAGTTCATATTTTCACTTTTCTCATTTTGTCTCCTTTCCCAGAAGTTGAAACATGCTCAGTTATACACATGCCAAGGTGACTGTGTTTATTTTAAACCTTTATAAGGATTTGCTGAAAAGGTCAAACATATTAACGGTAGCTATAACAAAGATAAGCCAGCCACCTAAAAAGTACTGCTCCTTAAAAACACAGTTATTCTTTGAATTTGTAGATTTGAGACAGAGTTTTGTGATCTCTTTGCTCAAACTCTTTAAGTTTAAAAAAAAAAAGTCGTATCATGGTAGCACATATACATTTTTGAAAAATCAAAGCACAGAAGGGCTTTGAAAAAGGAATGGTTCCAGCCTCTCTCCCTGCCTGATGCCTACTGGAATCTTTTTATAGCCCAAATAATGCTTACACTTTTATGTCTTGATTTATCAATAATACATTTCATGTAAAGTTACATAGGTATTCAATAAAGTAAATAATCATAATAATATTACTTAACCCCAGAGTAGCCCTTATCTGCGCTAAGCACTGTTCTACTTTACTTATACTAACTCATTTAATCCTTTTAGCAAGCTGGTAATACACTGCATTCTTCTTTATCCTCAGTTGTTGAGGAAACCGAGACCCAGGGAGGTCAAATAACTTACTCCAGGAGTCACAGCTAGCAAGAGACAAGTGTTCCGTGCTCTGCATTACCGTGTCTTATGGTGATATAGCTTTAAGGGGAGGAGAGACGGTTGAAGGGTGGTAAACCTCTTCAGGGATGGCAGGAAGTCAAAAGATAATGACCCAAGCTAACCAATCAACTTCTTTTGCAAATGAGGCAGCTAGGCTCCGAGAGATCAAGAGGTTCCCAGTAAGTTAGGGGCAGAACTGGGACTAGAAATTGGTGTTCTTTTTTTACTGTATCTCCTCTCTCAACTTAAGAATAACAATTCTGTATGATGCAGAAAGTATTTCGCTTCAACTCCATGGGAAAATCTTAAGAGGGGACCAAGAGGCCTCAGAACAGATGGTGGTGGGTGACATGTTTTACAAAGTTCTTCCATGGTATTTCTGAAAAAGCAAAGATGCATGGAGTTCACAACAGGGGAGAGCTTTGGGATGGAGCAGATGAAGTTATCTGTCCTCTGAGCAGAGACCTGATTTGAATACATGTCAATTTCGGAAACCATTTTCAACTCTTTTTTTTTTCTCTCTTTTATGAAAGGTTTTTGGGGTTTTAGCAACATCAAATCCACTCTGTTGCCTGTCTCCTTCAATTAATGTCTACTTTTATAAATTCTGTGCTCATCAGGAAGCCTCCTGTAGTCTGAGGCCCTTTGTTGTCCCTTATGCTTTTTCCCACTTGGTAAAGCTGAGCCCTGTCCTCTTGTGAGCTGCCCTGCAGTCCCCTCAACCTCTAGAAAGGTCTGCTCCAGTGCCAGAACTCTTGCTGCAGGGGTGGGCAACATTCTCTCTCCTCCCCTCTCTTGTTCTTAAACACACTCTGTCTCCCTTAGATGCCCAAATCTGCACCACATGCACACAGACACATGCTTGCATAAAGACAAACACACACATAACCTTAAGAGTAATATTTATGAAGCACTTGCCGTATGCCACAGACCAGTGCTAAGATTTTAATAGATTATCTCATTAAATCCTCCCAACCACCCAATAAGGTAGGTGCCATAACTTTCCTAGGATTACAAAGCTTCTGATCTGAACCCAGGTTGGCCCAGTCCCAGGGCCTGTGTTCCTTTCCATTATTGCTTCCCACATAATAAAGTCAGGTACATGCCATAAATATACCCATATATCTTTATTGTATAAATCCATACACATTTATACATATGTCCATATGTACACACCAGTTGATCTCAGAGCCAACCTAAAACAAGACGATAGAAACTGCCCAGTCTCATGCACCTTCATGCCATAGCTGGGCCAGTGGTCTCAAGTAGCTTCAAACCCTCCCATCCCTGACAAAACTCAAAAACCCAGTTCCATTCCAGGAAGGCAGCACAGATCCAGTAGGCTGCTCTGCACCATGTATCTGGCAGTGAAGATTCAGCTTAATAGAAACGTGACGGTAGAATCTTAGACTCTTAAGCACTCGTGAAAGACAAAGCTTACATTGAGCAGGAGTGGTCTTTTAACACCTCCTAATTCACACCCTGTAGGTGGTCCCCAACACCACCCACACCTGAAGTTAGTCTTGGAAAACTTTTGAAGCTTTTGAAAAAAAAGGGGGAGTTTTAACTGGGGGTTTCATCCTGGCTTACCCAAATGCTACCTTGGCGTCAAATCAGATGAACAGGTAGTCCTCAAAAATAAACAAAAAGTTGAAATATGCATGCCTTGCCAGACTCCAGGCTCAGTCCACCACCTCCACCCCTCCCACCTCATCAGCGCTCTTGTTTATATTACGTACTGGTACGTAACGATTACAGACTGTACTTTTTCCATACCTGTGTGATGTCTGAGTTTCTGCGGCTTGTATTTTCCAGTATATCTCCATTTATGTAAGACAAAATCTGAATCTAAATCTGATCATATTGTTCCCCTTTTCACAACTCTTCAGTAGGTTCCTGTTGACCTTAGATAAAACCCAAATCCCTTTTCTGACTTACCAGGCCCAACATAATCTGGCTCCTACCTACCTCTCCTGCCTCAACTTACTGCACATCACCCAGTCAGCCACCCACACCAGTCCCACTGGCTTTCTCTCTTGACTCAGGACAGCTTGTTTTTCTACCAGAATGTATTTGTTCATGCTCTTCACTCTGTCTGCAACGTTTTCCAGTTTTATTCTTCCTCCGTTCTTCCTAGATACTCTCCCCCACCCTTTGCTTTTTTTTTTTTAACCTCCCACCCCCGCAAGTTTTAGTTTAAATGCCACTTCCTCAGGGAAGCCTCCCTTGACTCTTCTGAATAAAAAGTTTATCATCCTAAACGTATCCTTCATAGCAGTTATCACAACCATAATTCAGTAATTATGTTATAATGATTTAATGCCTGATTCCCCAAACAGACAAGCTCCGAGAAAAGCAAGGCACTTACGTGTCTTGACTCTGATCTTTCCCTTAAGCTTAACCCAGTGACTGGCATGTGGTTGATGTTTAATGAATGGTTTACTAATGAATGAATGATGTTCTTAAAAAACTGTGTCTGGGCATAAGTACACCAGACTGTTTTTTGTTTTTTTGAGTAGACCCCATGCCCAACGTGGGACCTGAACTGACAACCCTGAGATCAAGAGTCCCATGCTCTGTGAACTGAGCGAGCCAGGTCCCTTGCCCCCACCCCCTCCCACCCCAGGGGCAACAAACTGTTGATAATGTTTTTACCTTGGACACCTCTTGGGTACTACTTCAAACGTTCTTAGCCTCATCTCCTAGGCTAAATTTCTTAGAAATTTTGCCAGATTCAGGTGTACACTACGTGGTGGTATCTTTCCTCGGGACCGTGCCATGTATCTCTTGCCCCCTGCCCTATGGCTTCTCTAATGTTGCAATACAGGATAACAGTGGGAGCTTGCTTCACAGTCATATGAGCCTGACCCACAACTGTGGATTTTGACTAATGGGAAATCTATGGAAATATACTTCCTCCTTTCATCTTTTGGAGTAGGCAGTCCTGAGATTTCATAAGGTTCTTCATAAGGTTCTGTGGGATGAGTACCATTTAGCTATTGAGTGGCTAACATAGTAATGTATCCTCGTATTGTTTCTTCCTTATTCTCTGAATCATTCCTCCATCCTTCACCCTTGCTCACACATAAATTACCTTCAAGCAAGCAAGGAAGCCTTTGTTTCAGGCTCACATAGTTTCTTTCAAATTTAAAATTGGGTCACAAAACAAGTGTGCAATTTTTGTCAATCAAATTTACCTGCATTTTGGAATTATAAATTTTAGAATTGTGCTATTTGTTTTGACTGGCTCTTAACACTTTGGTGGTCTCAAGATCTTTGCCCTAAAGCTGATCATTTGTAAAGTAATCCATAAATCCACCAAAGGGGTTAAAGTAATTGGAAATCTAAAGCATTGTAGCATGAAAACTTTCTTGACCGTTACTGGACTCTTGTTGGCAGAAGCCAAGTTTTATACTCCTTTGCTCTCTTTCCTCAGTACCTAGCATAAATTTGGAAATGTTTTAAATACTTAATGAAACTTCACTTTAATGTTTCTCTGGTGCTAAAATTGCTTCTCTGATTTGGTTTTCTAATGATACTGGAAAACCTCTGGAATATTCAAGGAGAGGAATGATTGGAGGAAAGTGGGAAACTTTCCAATAGTGGAAAAATGAAGGAAAGTGGAATGGCAGGGGTTGAATGGCTATGAGACATTCTTTCCTTCTTTGAAAGATGCAGGTCTGAAATGAAGTTGACTGTGAAATTTCCTCTCCAATCAGGAAGGTGTCTGTAGGTGAAGAGTGTACTTTAGGGTATGCAATCACCAGTATAAATAAAGTACTAGAGGTACTTTAGGGTATGCAATCACTAGACCCACAGTAAAGTGACCCAAACTCCTAGCAAGGATAACTCCACTCCGCATTTTCTAGAAATGACTTATGGTCCTTAAGTTTAATGAGAAACCAGTACTCAAGTGCATGGTTTCAAACTCCAATAGGCCTGATTTGAATCTCAGCTTTGCCAGAGGATGGAAAACTTGGGCAAATTCCTTATGTATAAAATGAAGTTACTAATAGGACCTATTTCATTGATTTGTTCTGAGGAGTCAATGAAATGATGCATATAATAAATGCTTAATAGATGTAGGATCCTTCTTATGTTTCTTCTTT